CTGCTGAACTCATGACATTTCTAAGGCCTCGTTTGTTCCCAAGAGCTGAATGATGGGGGCACCATTTCACAAAATAAATGAATAAATCCATGCTGTTTGGGGGGCGCTTCTGCTAAGGTGTTCTCTATGTCTCATAAACAGCGAAGATAAGAGATATCCCAAATAAAACATTTGCTGATGAAGTTAAAAAAGGATACTCGAGTATATTGCCAAGCTGAGGAGAAAATAAAATCAGTAGTTCAATTTCAAATTTCTTAATATGCATCAGAGAATTCTTACAAGTTTTCACGGCCTAGGTGAGTCTCAGGCCCCAAGGAGTCTACTTCATCTAAAACACTTTCTTCCCCTCTTTCTCCTCCCCAAAACAAGAGGCAATCTTCAAAGGAACAAATATGTCACTTTAAATATGCAACATAAAAAATGGGCCAAATAAATTATTAAAATACATAAAGAAGAGATTCACAAAAGATGCCTGTTATTAGCTATTTGACAAGCAATTGATGCTGTTGCAATAGCTGCATTTCACAACTCAAGTGTTTTCTTTGCTAGACAGATAAATAGTTGAAATAATGTGAGAAATGACTTTGCAGTCATCCAAAGAACAATTTGGCTTTAAATGGTTCATTTAATGGCTTTCCACTGGCTGTGCTGTGCAGTCGTTTCATACCAGACCTTCACCACATCCATGTGCTTTGGAATTTCTTCTAAAAATGAGCTCCAAGCCTGACCCTCCTCTCCCCGTCCCAATTCCCTGCAGAAGTGTTACTACATATGCTTTGAATCTTTTTTTCAGATGCGCTCCCAAGTCTAACTCCTTCCTCCCTGTGCTTGAAACGTATGGATTTGAAAGCACAGATGTGGCCTTGAAGTTTTTGGACCGGGCCCATCTGGGTCAATCCCTACATAGTTTAACTAGTAGTTTCTGGAGTGAAATTCTCAGAAGCCTTCATTTCTTCTTGTTCTGAATCTACTATGCTCTCCCTTTTATCTCTCCTAGTTGAACTACAAGGATCTCAAGGGAGATGTGATTTTCATAAACAGAAAAATAATGACCAGCTAGAGGAAGGAAACAAATTTTTAATGACTGTGAGAATTGTCTTTATGAAACGGCAAGTTTCCTTTTAGTTTATTCTATATGTAAAAAATATGCCATTCATACACTGGAGAAGGAGGGGAGATTCTTTTTAAATCTCATCTACTCAATTAATAATAGTAATAATAATAATACTTTTGAAAGGCTGGTAGAGACTTTGTCCTCCTCCTGCTGCCAACATCTTGAATATCTGAGAAAGGGTTCCAGCTCTGACCCTGAAAACTCCATTTTGCCATTAGCAGTGACTTCATTAGGATCACTTGTGTGTGCAGAGGTGCCCATGCAAAACAGTTTGCAGGACGAAGTCAATTGAACAACTGCTTTTCCAGACGTGCTGGCTTCCTTCCCAATCCAGATACTGCTAAGTAGGGACACGAGGGGTTCAGGAGCGCTCCATCACCGCATCCGAGTCCCAGCCGCGATGGAAGGCGGTTTGCAGGGGCGTCCGGACCCCTTCTGCACGCCTGAAGGGTCGCGGCTGGGAGGGACCGCCTTCGGCCCACGTGGAAAAGCTGCTTTTCCGCGAATCGAGGGGGCAGCCCGCCGCGGGCGATGCGGGC